TATGTTCTCAGCGCGGGGCAGTATGCTTGCCAGCGCGAGGATTCGCATAAATTAATGTCTAATAGTGCTTTAAATTGGGTTCGAGAAGGAGCGTGAACAACCGCTGGAGGAAGGTCATTATACGCAACTACTACCCGAAATGAGAAAAAATTTTGTCTAATGAATGTGTGTGCTCTGAGGTTGAAAATTTTCTTCGTATGTCCCCACCGGATGTTTGCTGGTTCAACGGTAAAAAACCTGTTTGCCAAGCTTTGTTCAAACAGGGCGTAAGTCATCTCTCCTGACATTGCCTCCTCCATAGGCGACGCTCACCAATATCATGGTTTGGTGTATTTCTCACATTTGTGCTTTGCTTGGGTGTAAAAAGTAACAAATCCAGCGGTTATCAAGTTGATTCTTGAAACCAGCGATTAAAGGGACCTCCACCATTTCTTGTGATAATCCATTCCTGTATTTTACCACCCGATAGGCGAAATAGTAATTTTTCAAAACACAACTGCAGCCCTTTTTTCCAACCACCACTCACACCCCCATTATCTGATTCCTTCCCCAAAATGTAGTTTCCTTCCGTAAATCCTTCGTCCCACCCGGCGGTTTATATACCGGCAGCCCACTCACACCGGCATATTAGAGTGAGTGGTTAGGTTTGTCTTGGTCGTTCTATAAAGAATAGTCATTCCAGGATGCTTCCTTGTTCAGTAGCCATCTTTCAACTGGTCCTACGGTGTCGACGTTTATCTCTATGTTCCGCCACCGCGCTTCCAGATTTGCTAGACTACGGGCGTTCCATTCATCCGGGTAACTATTAGTGACAGCTCCCTTGGGTCCGCGCGATGCCCTTTTATCAGGGTTCATGACAAATTGTAAGGCTGGTGTACAATAAATGTCAGCTTTTTTATTTCTGGAAATTTAGGCGAAACGTGCTGGGCAAGTGTGAGAAGAAACAACTCCTGGTCCTGGTTCAACGGGGCCAAATATTTTGCTCATCCAATGGGAGACCACATAACCCACACCAGTGCTGATCATCTGGAAGCTACAATCTCCACTTCAGTGAATTATTCAATTTCATAGCATCAGCAAACATGATACAATTTATTCAATCCAGCAAGTGGGCTGCTGGCAGAAAAGATGCGCAACAATGACCGATTACACCTGAACATTTCTCCGGGAAGCTCCGTCGTCTCACTGAATCCGATGAATATGTTATCACAAACAGGACGATGCACTAGCGGTTTCTCAGAAACCTCCTGTATCGGTTTTATGCATATTCAGTTGCAACTCCATAATGAAGCTATACAGGGAAAAGTAACTAGTTGCGCATTGGTTGGAAAGTCCTTTCAAGTTCGAAGCAACTTAACGCCGCTTATCGTCTTCGTTTCCATCATCACAACAACAATGTCTCTGGTTACCCTTTGTCTTCAAAAATGAAGGAGATTGCATTTGCATACTACATCACAGGGTCCTCCTCGGCATTGATTTGAGCGTCAGGGCTTAGAAGACTTTCGTGTGTGTTCTCCAGAATTTTGTCGGTGTAATGAGCGAACCAATCGCACCGCCTAGACTTGAATAAATTGGCTTCCACGCATAATAAATAAAATGCCTTCAGTGTGCGCTAGTGAAGCATTAATGATCAGCAAGCCCGCAGGACTGATACCCGAAGTTCAAACTCCGGTGCGACCGAGGGTACGAACTGCAAAACCAGCGCCAAAGCAACAGAACATCACGGTGGTTATATCCCAGAAGACGGTCCAGACGAAAACAACTTATCCTCGCGGCGACCGGGGACAGGATTTGCTAGCAAGAGCTTCCGAAATGATGAGGCATAGCCGAGGATGTGGGGACAGCAGCGAGATACCGGACAGAATGTTGTGATACTATGCTATCATCTTTCCTGGAAGAAGCGAATGAACGATCAAAAGCACAATGACCCACTGGTGGGTATATACTTTTAATAATAATAATAATAACGTTAATTCCCAACTTGTCGGTGGCATATCGTCTGATATGATCATAGTTTTATAGTCAGAATGAAGCATGACTTGGGGATTTGTGGGGGGCGGATTGCACAAAAAGAGGACAGTGTCAAAACGGTTAGGAATATCCGACAAAAAAGGGATGATAGATTTCTTTCCCAACTTTTTGGGAACAATAATTCCTCTATTAGCATGTTCCCTACAAGTTTGTAAACAAACTTATTATTAACACGTTGGGGATGACTAATATGGTTCCGTATTTACAGTCTGCATCTCGGCTAAATGTTAACCGTCCGAAATAGAGGCAGAAGAAGGCTATTTTAATGGACCTCGAAGGACTCTGTCTAATTTTGAAGACCTGATTTACTGTGTATCAAACAGCTCCAACGATCCCTAGTGGTTCTACGGACAAGAATCTTACAATACACTTTGCACTTCGATCAGTTGGATCGCGTTTCGGAACCGAATGAATCTACTGCTGAGACACATGTGAAGCGATGAGGCTCTCAGAAGCACGGGGATTTATAGGTTATAATAATGGCATTTTTGCGAACTTTTTGCGACATGCAAAATGGAGTATTGTCGGGTCAGCTCAGTTAATAATAATGTTATTAATAATAATAATGTTTATTCTCAACTTGTGGGTGGAATACCGTCTGGCATGATCCTATGTTTACAGTCAGAATGAAGCATGACTGGGGGGTTGTGGGGGTGCGGATTGCACAAAAAGAGTACAATGCCACAAACAATGGGGAATATCCAATGAACTAGTAATAATGGGTTTCTTTCCCGACTTGTTGGGAACGATGGACTTGGGGTCTGACTAGTTCAGAGGCATAGCCAGCTGGCATGAACTAAAGCTGAGAACCATTGCTGGCCATGAATGACCTTGGGCGGTTAGGCAAATGCCTGGAGTCACTACGAGCAAAAGTGGAGATGGAGGTGGAATAATTCAAATTGGGAGCACATGACGAGTTTTGTCTCAAAAATTTGGTTTAATCCGGAACTAAGCAGACTGATTGTTTGCAGTGTTGTAGGGAAGTCAGGTGCAGGGGGTAGGTTGGATGGGGACAAGGTGTTAATACATAAGGCCATCCGAACATCGTATACGGATTTGAAACTATGAAGCAGGTGAGCCGAAATTGCAGCGAAAAAATCAAGTTAACCATATTCGACCGAAAATCCATTTGATACGGAAGAGCTTGTCCCAGAGACGGGGGCAAATGAAAAATTTGCTGACTACAGGCTTGAATGAGCGGGGGGTTGCGGCCGAGATTCTGAAGTAAATAGTTGTGAGATTGCCATCACGCTGGGGATGACAGTGCCATGCCATCATTGGACAGCTCCGTGACGGTCGACAGGGGTGCCGCGATCAGAGAAGGGATACGCAGTTCCGCGACAGTTCACTCTGGGTGAGACGGAGATTGACACAAAGTCAGGCGGATGCAGGCTTATGGATAATTTCCGTTTCTTTGGAGGTTCGTGCGAGTGTATACCGGGGACAAGCCAGTTTGAATGAATAACAGTTCTACAGGGCGTTTGGCAACTGCAGCCGAGGTTTGAAGCTTCGGAAAATGGACAACAGGAAAGAAATAGAACGAAAGCAGTAGCGTGCAGCGAGTGTCAGGAGACATAAGATACAACGGTGTCAATAGAAAAATCTAAAAGGGGATGACGTGAAGCTAAATAATCCCAAGAAAGGTGAACAAATTTGCTGATCTAGAGGCTAAGTACTAGCTGCTTCAGAGCAGGTGTCTGGTTTTAGAAAGGTGAGAACTTTGTCGTCCAGGTAACTAACAGGGAGGCTAGATGTTAGACTATTTGAGAACGGGCGGTAGTTTTTGAGTCCTTGTTGTACAGAAAGAGAAGTTAATGTGAGCAGCAACAGTAGACAAGTGAAAAGCGGACAAGCAATAGCTTTCCAGATAGCTGATAAGAATTGCAGCTTCACTGAGATCTAATATATCAACCTAACAGGAAAGTAAGATTAGGGATCACCAGTCACCGAGTTGCTGCTGAAAAACTCCAGCAAATGAATAGCGCATGGCAAAAAACAGCTGTGGCTGCTTGTAATCAGGAAATGATAATTTATCACCATTTTGTGCATACGATCGCTCTAGATGACAAGAGGGAAGAAAGTGTGTGCTGTGGTTGGATGATGAGGTGGACTAGGGGTGGTATGACCCTACTAAGACGAAAGTGGCAACTCCTTGCACGTCGACGTTAGCCGTGAGCCCCACACAGTACTCTCAAGCTCCCCCATGCATGAATGTTTTTTAATATTCTTCTATTTATTTTTTTAAACCAAACGGGAGCACAGCTGTTTTCCGCTTGTATTTCTTGGTGTTGTGGGACACGTGACGACCGG